AACTTGTTCAGCCACTTCCCGATTGATGAGCATCCCCTCAATTTCCAATTCTTTGCCACCACAAAAAGAGCTGCTATAAATATTTTTGGATATATGGATCCTTTTTTTTCCTTTGATCTCTTTGGGTTACGGGCCTAGTAGGGGTACTGCTGGGCCAAAGTGTATGCTCAGTTTTATAGCCCTTTGGGCATAGGTCCAAATTATTCTCCAGAGTGGTTGGACCAGTTCACTGCTCCATCAGCAGTTCATTAATGTACGTATTTTAGCATTTGTCATTTCTGATGGGTGTGAAGTGGTACCTCAGAGTCATTTCAATTTGCCATTCTCTAATCAATAGTTATTTAGAGCATTTTTTCATATGACTATAGATAGCTTTAAAAACTGCCTGTTTATATCCTTTGACAATTTATTTATTTTTTTTTCAGTAAGTGTTTTGTTCAGTAAGTTCTGTACCCAATATATATGAGAAATGAGGTCTTTTTTCAGAGGAACTTACTGTAAATTTTTTGATATTACTTCATTGTCTGTGGTATCGTTTAGTATAATGTAGTTTCCCTGATTATCTCTTTTAATTAGGTCTATTTTTGCTTTTGCTTTATCTGAGATCATGATTGCTAGCCCTGCCTTTTTTACTTCAGTTGAAGCATATTAGATTCTACTCCAACTCTTTAACTCTATGTATCTTCCGTATTATGGGTTAGCTCATCCTATTCACATTCCCAGTTATGATTACTGTGTATTTACCTCCATCTCATTTTCTTCTGTTTCTTCTTCTCCCTCTTCAAAAGTCTATTTTGCTTCTGATCACTGCCTCCCTTAATCTATCCTCTGCTTTATCAACTGCCCTCCCCTTTATTAGTTCCCCTCTTTTTCTTGTCCCTTTCCCTCCTGTTTCCCTATTGGGAAAATTACATTTCTATACACAATTGAGTATGTATATATATTCTTCTCTTTTGAACCATTTCTGAGGAGAGTGAGATTCAAGTATTGCCTGCCACCCCCCCCCCATCTATTTCCCCCCTCATTATAAAAGCTCTTCCTTGTGTGCTCTTTTATGTGAGAAAATTTCCCCCTTCTCTTTTCTCCAAGGGCATCCCTCTTTCTCATTCCTTTTTTTTTTTTTTGGGAGATCATTCCAACATAATCAATTCACAATGATGTCCTCTGTGTAGGTAAACTCCTTTCAACTGCTGTAATAATGATAGTGTTCTTAGGAGTTGCATGTATCATCTTTCCATATAGAAATATAAACAGTTTAACTTTATTGAGTCTCTTATGATTACTCTTTCATGTTTAAATTTTTATGCTTCTCTTGAGTCTTGTGCTTGAATGTTAAAGTTTCTAATCAGCTCTGGTCTTTTTATCAGGAATGCTTAAAAGTGTTCTCTTTATTATTAAATAATCCATTTTCCCCCTGAAAGATTACACTCAGTTTTGCTGGATAGATTATTTCTGGTTGTAGTCATAGCTCTTTTGCTTTCCAGAATATCGTATTTCAAACCTTCTGCTTCTTTAATGTGGAAACTGCTAAATCTTTTGTGGTCCTGATTGTGGCCTCATGATATTTGAATTTTTTCTTTCTGGCTGCTTGAAGTATATTCTCTTTGACCTGGGAGCCCTAGAATTTGGATATAATATTCCTGGGAGTTTCCATTTTGGGATCTCTTTCAGGAGGTGATCAGTGGATTCTCTCAATTTCTATTTTGCCCTCTGGATCTAATATATCAGAGCAGTTTTCTTTGATAATTTCTTGAAATATGAGGTCTAGCCTCTTTTTTTGATCGTGACTTTCAGGTAGTCAAGTAATTCTTAAATTATTTCTCCTCAATCTATTTTCCAGTTCAATTGTCTTTCCGATCAGATATTTGACATTTTCTTCAGTTTTTTTCATTCTTTTGATTTTGTTTTATTATTTCTTGCTGTTTCATGGAGTCATTAGCTTCCACTTGCCCAGTTCTAATTTTTAAGGAATTATTTTCTTCAGTGAGATTTTGTGCCTCTTTTTCCATTTGGCCAATTCTGCTTTTTAAGGGATTCTTCCCTTCAGTAGATTTTTGTGTCTCTTTTTGCCATTTGATCAATTTTTTAATTGATCTCGTTTTAAGGTGTTATTTTGCTCAGTTTTTTTATGCCTGTTTTACCAAGCTGTTAATTCTTTTCATAATTTTTCTTTTCATAATTTTCTTGCATCACTGTCATTTCTTTTCCCAATTTTTCCTTTACCACTCTTATCTCTTTTAACTCTTCCAGGAATTTTTGTTGGGTTTGGTCAAATTAGCATTTTTCTTTGAGTCTCTTTTTGTAGCTGTTTTCACATTGTTGTCTGCTTCTGAGTTTATGTCTTGGTCTTCCTTGCTACCATAATAGCTTTTTATGGTCAAAATTCTATTTTTGTTGTTTGCTCATTTTTCCAGCCTATTTTTTGACTTTGAACTTTATGTTAAAGTTGGGCTCTGCTCACCTGGGGGTGGGGAGGTGCTATCCCAAGCTTCAGGCTTTTTCATGCTGCTGTTTTGAGAGCTTGTTTTGAAGGTCTGCAAGTTTTTGGTGCTTTCAAGGTGGATGTGATCTGTAGAGAGATGTGGTCACTGCTCTCCTGGTCTGGGCTCTGGTATTTACTTAGGAAGGACCCTTGATCCACTGTAGCCACAAATGCTAGGGCTTCTCTTTGCTTTGGAACTGTGACCAGGGCTCCTGTTCCCTTGTGACCAACCATTAGCATTCTTCTCTGCCCTGAAACTGCAACCCAGAACTGTGTATTGGCAATGGATTTGCCAGTTAGCACCAGCTGCACCCAGTGCCAGTAAAGGGTCCTGTGTAATCTCTTTCTGACCACTTGTCCAACCCCTTTACCATCTCAGAGCTGAGAGCTCCCAAAGATGCTGCTGCTACTGTAGCCACTGTTCCCATAGCCACGTCTGTGGGCTCTGGACAAGCCTCCACCCTGGTGCCACAGACTTCTCTTATTGGCCTCTTAAATTTTCTTAGGCTGGAAAAATGTTTTACCCCAACCTTTTGTTGACTGTGTTCCTGCAAAATTTGATTTGAGGCCTTATTTTACAGTTGTTTAGAGGGGAATATTGGGAGAGTTCAACTGGGTATCTGTCTCTAATCTACCACCTTGGCTTCATGAAGCACATTGCTTTTGACTGTGCCTTTGTGCAAGTGGCCTCTCGCATCTGGCAAGGGCTGGCCTCTCACTGTGACCTCCTCAGAGCCTTGTTTTCCTTCAGAGAAAGTTTAGGGACTACCTTCTGAGGTGATGCCCTTAGGTGTTAGCACTTTCTCCATTACTTTGTATTGAGTTCCACTTGCAACCATTGTATTCTTTGCCCTGCCCCCCAACCCCAATACAGCATAAGCTTCTGGAGGGCAGGGGCTGTTTTATTTTGGTTTCTGTAGTCCTGATGCCAATCAGAGTCCCTAGCATATGATAAGGGCTTAATCACATTTGTAGAATTGAATTGAATCTCTAGAAACTAATAATAAAGGAATAGGTCATTGACCTACATTGTTCAGTTTGTTTTCTTCAAATTCACAAGGTTCTAGCTTTAGAAGACAGCCTTAAAGACAGATGGGGTAACCCTGGGCACCCTTACCATTTGTCCAGCCAAGTTCCTGTTCATAGGCACTGCCCCCTGTAACCACTTTGCAGCATGAAGCTGAGGTCTAGGGCCTTTACATTCAGGCTTCAGCTTGTGGGGGTCTCCAGTGTGCAGCTATTAGAGTTTCATGGTGATTTAGTTTGTTATTCAGGAATACTCTCTCAGAGGAAATGCCCCAGCCCTGGATCTGCGAATCTGGCATCATGATTACTAAGGCCTGGTTGGGCCTCTAGGAGAAAATTAGCTTTCATGGGCCATGCTAGTGTACCTTGAACCCACCAGAAGGAACCTATAACATCTGTCAATCATGGCTTTGGTTTGAACCCAGTTAATCTCCATAGGCCCTTCATATACAATGGCAAATCACAAAGCTGATTGCTGAGCTGAGTGAGGGATTTCAAGGAGTGAGGAAAACCTACGGCTTGGTTTTAAACTGATGTCTCTGTTATAAATGCATTAAAGTGGTAACTTGAAAACACTTTCGGATTTAAGCCCTTCAGCCATATTCTTCAAGATTTATTTCTCTTCTTAATGTGGTATTTGTTTTATCTTCTACTTAGTTTTTCTGTGTTGTGTGTGCTATCCTTTGGTCAGCTGGCCTGTGGTAGGGAATGCAAACAGGAAAGGATAAAGAGGATTTGTTCTTCGAGATCGCATATTAAAGCCTGTTTGTATTCATGCAGAGGTGTAACTAGGGCAGGATGATGGGGGCTTTGGCCAAGGACACCAAAATTTAAAGCATGCTGGTGACACTTACAGTCAAGGCGGTGTAGAAATAAGCACCTTATTAGCAAGAATTGTTAAACAAAAAGCAAGTGGATGGAGCTTTCTCTGTGATATGCCTCTGCTACTGACACTGCCCCCCCCATATATATATATATATATATATTATGGGGGTAGAATTGATAAAGTTTGGCACCTGATTGAATGTGGTTTGGGGGAGGGATAGTGCAGGAAGAGGGGATGAGGGAGAGAGAGGAGTTAAGGATGATTGTGAGGTTACTTTTCTGGCTGCCTGGAAGTGGGGTGCTCTCCTCAATGGAGTCTTATCAACGTGTATATTACCTCTGCTGGTCCAGATCTGCCCAAGCCTTCTTACACTGGCTGATGCTCACCCATGGCCTCTCATGAGTCTTCCACACAGTATCTACCCAAAGTTGTGGAGTATTTCTTCCAGGTCATGCAACGTTACCAGGATGTGGTTACCAGGGATGGACGGATGCTGGGTATGAGCAGGCTGTAACATCTCATCAACAATGGCTTATGCAAGAAGTGGCTTTTGAGGTATCCTCTAGAAAACATTGGCCGGGACAAGGGGCTGGGCCAGCCAGGTAGTGAGACAGAGGGGTAACTGATAGCATTTCGTAACCCGCCTTTCTTCTGTTTCCTTGCCAGGGGGCCTCTGCTACATCATTGTCTAACATGGCCTACATGCACGTAATTCGATGGGCCGTTTGGAACCCCCTGACAGAAGGCTTTTCTAAGAAGGTGGTGACCTTACCCCTTCGAGGAGGAGCACAACTCAACCCTGCCCACTGTTTGGTGTACAAGATTCCTTCAACCACCATGAGCTCCGAGGAGGTAAGACCACTTACTTGTCTTCTCTTTCCAGTGAATTTGGCCTGTCCTATGTTATTGCATCTGGTGCCTGGCTAACACATACATAGTGACTGAAAATAACCCTGCTGGTTGTGCTGAACCTATTTTCAGCCATGCTTCATAGGCAGAATTTTTCCATGACAAGGATTTATATATTTTTTAAATTACAAAGTGATATTCACTTTGTAATAAATGTTTGCTGAGTAGTTGAATTAAATCCAGCCCTATACTCACTGAAGTTAATTAATTTAATGACATAATGCCTTTTGTCATTCCGATTTATATTAGTCTTTTGGGGAACTCTCAGTGCCCTCAACTCTTGAATGAATGCGTTCTGTAAAGGAACCAACATGTGCCAGTTTAAAAAAAAAAAGATTTCTTAAAAGTATTTAATTCGTGGGAAAAAGTTGAGCGTATATTTGGTGTCTTTTTGGAGGCAGTCAGGTGTCAGGGAACAACTTGGTTGTATAGAGTAAGAGTCTGAGCTGCAGGGGATTGCAGCGGTCATCTGATCATCAGTGTTTAGGCATGTAGATTTAGAGAGAGACAGAGGTGGCCTCAGAAGTCCTCTGGACTGACCCTCTCGTTTTGCAGAGGAAAAAACAAGGGCCACTTACCCCAGATCCTCGAGGAAGCAACTGACCGAGTTGACCTCTCAGTCCTCAAACTGAATACAGCTGTCTTTCTGTTGCATCATGCTGCCTATCAGGAATCTCCTGACCTTTGTTTTAGTTCAATCTCTGCCACTAATTACCTGTGTCATTTCATCTTTCTAGGCCTCAGTTGTCATATCTATAAAATTTCTGCATTTGATAATGTGATTCACTTTTTTTAAACCATTAGGTGTTTCCATTTGAGACTCTTATATTTCTAAAACATGTCCAGGCTCTTTCAAGAGTCCTCACATGAACCTTTTACCATTACTATTTACCATTTTTCGAAGATAGGAAAAAGGTTTCACTTGTTGACTGACTGTTATATCAGTGGATCATCTAGATTTGGACTTTGGAGACAATGTCATTTTTGGAGACAAAGGCCATTCTTGATAGGCTGAGGTTATAGCATTGGGAGACTAGCCAATGTTATCCATCAATCTCATCACAAGACTTTTCCTTCCTTATGGAACTAAATTTGGCTGCATCCCTACAAAGCCTCATTTGTCCTCTTTCCTGGAGGAGGAGGAGATTGCTATCTGAAATGCCTGACCTTGAGACCAAGGTTACACAAGAGTTTGTTGAAGACATCTTCATTTGTTCTGCTCAGTTTTAGTCCTCCCATGATGCTGTGTTTCGCCTCTCACCTTTTAGTTGTGTCATGTGTGCTGGGGAGGAGGAACATCGAAGGTTCTGAAATCTTTAAAGAGCCATCTGTGCTACCCTGTACATTGCAGTCAGAGTTTCTGAGATTCCTGCTGTGAGCCCCAAGGCTGTACAAATGCCATTAGCTAAAATGACTCACTAGCTTTACTCACTGTTGGACATGATGGGCAGTGAGAAACCTCTTAATGGGGCCTTATTCTCTAGAAGTTGGTGACTTTGATGGGGAAAAGGTAGCATTCCTGAATCAATTAATCAGTCAACATTTATTAAGCACCTGCTATGTGCCAGGCGCTAAGCTAAGTAGTGGGATACAGAAAGGCAGCAGACAATCTCTGCCCTCAAGGAGCTTACATTCTAATGGGGCAGACAACATGCAAAAAAATCTATACAAAGCAAACTACATACAAGGTGTATGCTTGCTGTTTGTCCTGAGTTCTCGAAGAGGACCATGACATCAGGGTATATAGGAAATAGTTAAAAGAGGGAAGGCGCTGAAATGAAGAGAGGGTAGGGAAGGCTTCCTGTAGAAGTTGGGGTTTTAGTTGGGACTTCAAAGAAGCCAGGGAGGTCAGTAGACTGGACAGAGTTGAGAAGGGAGAGCATCCCAGGGGTGGGGGAGAGACAGAGAAAATGCCTGGAGCCAAGAGGTGGAGTGTCTTATTTGTAGGACAGCCAGGAAACCAATGACATTGGATTGAAGAGTATTGTTGGGGAGTAAAGTATAAGAAGACTGGAAAGGTAGGAGGGGCATTGAATGTCGGAGCATTTTATATTTGCTCCTGAAGGTGATAGGAAGCTACTGAATTAAGTGATTAGCTTCTGTCCACTTTCCTCGTTCGTGAATTTAAATAGATTAAGACTGATTTTTGGGCAGCTAGGCGGCACCACAGTGCATAGAGCACCAGGCCTGAAGTCAGGAAGACTCATCTCCCTGAGTTCAAATCTGGTCTCAGGCAGTGACTAGCTGTGTGACCTTGGGCAAGTCACTTCACCCTGTTTGCCTCAGTTTCCTCATCTGTAAAATGAGCTGGAGAAGGAAATGACAAACCACTCCAGTATCTTTGCTAAGAAAACCCCAAATGGGGTCACGAAGAGTTGGACACAACAATGACTGAACAACAAGCAAAGACTGATTGTTGAAAGATATGTTATGAGGCCATTTTATATTGAAGAACTTTTGCTTCAAGTTAAATTTTGTATATAGAACTCCAGCAGCTTAGAGGATCTGCGTCTATGCAGCAGGATACTCAAAAGAATTTGTGGATTTGACCGAAAGCTGGTGGTGCATAGACATATTTTCCAGCATTTTTCTACCCATTCATTTGTGAGACTAATTTCAAGACATTCTAGTAAAGAAGGTTTGAGGCCACCCTGGGCTAAAGGTATCTCTTCCTTGTACCTGGATGTAGTTGTTTTCTAAGGATTTTAGGCTAACACATACCCTTCTCCTTCCTGGAAAAGAGAAATATCTTATATAAAAATGCTTTGTTGTTGTTGTTTTTTTTAAAGAAAGCATCAGATGAAGCAGATATGCTGGGTGGTAATGTATCCATCAGCCTTGTAGAAAACTCCAGACAGGAAAAACTCTGAGCCTCCTCCTCATCAAGGTTTTTGTCCCCTGGTTGATTTTATCACTGTGTCATTCAGAGGGCAATACGGTGACACAACGTGAGTCACATGATTAAAATTTAAATGTCTTTCTCCAGGAGTCCCTAATTTAAACGTTCTTTCTGGGGAGAAATGGGGAGGATGGGACAGGAAGTGTGTCAGTATTCTGTGCTGAGCAAAAGTGAGTAACATCAAAGAGGGCATGCATGTTTTTTTTTTTTGTTGTTGTTCACTTCAGGTTAAGCAAGTTGAGTTGGGCACCATCCAATTCCAGTTCTCCCTCAGCTCAGGAGAACACTTGGGAACCTCTCTCGAGCCCTCCAGCCACATGAAAGAGGAGCTACAGCACCCCAAGAAACCTCCCCCATCCTCTTCAAGTAAGTGCTTTCAGGGTGCTAACTTTCTAGGCCATAGCATGACTTCCATCTGTTTATGGGAGAAAAAAGCACTTAATAGTGTACAGTAATCACCAACTTTATAAGGTAACTGCTATAGATTGCTTTAATTCAAACCCATTAGGCGGGTTTTCCCTGGCTATGCCACTTTTTAAGTTGTAAAACTGAGCAGTGATGAAGTGGGGCGTGGAGGTTTCTTGTCTGTGGATCAGCCCGTCAATCAGTTCATTCCATCATTTTAAGAGACTAGCGGTTGGAGCTCTCTGCAGGGGTCTCCAGCAAATACAGTCCCCCCTTCTCCCAGAAGTCACTTCACGTGGGGCTCTTGGAAATGAAGGCTTTCAAATATTGTGGATTCACCAAAAGCCCTGATTGTGGCAGTGCCGAGCGTAGGAAACACATGGGAGAAAGTTTGTTTCCTTTTTTAAAGTACTGTACTCCCTACTTAGAAGAAACATCGTCTGAGAGGCGGAGGCCTGGGATGCTGACGCTGACCTGGGACTTTTTAAAGTGGAGTGAGTCCTAAATTGCTACAAGCCAAGCTATCAACTGAGTTAAAATACCTTGCCCTGAAGGCAGGGCCAGGCATGTTTCCATTGGCATACAGTGATAGAGATAGTGGCTCGTGGTGTTTGTTCATTTAATGTTTGCTTTGCTCATCAGTTTTTGAACTGTGCGGAGAGTGCTTTATATTGTAACCCCCTTCATTCATTCATAGTTGAGAAGTACTTTGATCTACACCGTGGTGGGGGCAACAATAGCTTCCCCAGAGGGAGTGGGACTGAAGCTGTGATAAGATCCTCCCAAAAGGATGTCGCATCTCTGGGCTACATCCGAAGCTAAGATGAGTTCCTCACAAACTTATGTGTTCTTCTTTCAAAAAGGATTCTCATTTCTGAGGGTTAGATTAGCACGTGTGTTGAACCTTTTTGACCTTTGATACCCAAGCACAGAGCTGGGGGAAGGTGTTGTCAGAGAACCCTAGATCATGGGGGTCCCACCCATCTTTGGTCCCAGACAGAAAGACTGTGAATGGTCAGAAGTGGGAGAGCCAAAAATAGAAGGGCTCCAGACAGATTCATCCTTTCAGTCTCTCTACTACAGTGTCTGAGCTGCAAACCTAGGAAGATGAGTAGGAAGGACTCTTTAGTCTATAGTCTAAGACTATAGTCATCATAAGGATGCCTGTTTTGCCTGTAGAAAAAAAGTAGAAAACCAGTCCTCTGAGATCAGTTCTGTGACTTTGGGTGACATGATACACACGAGGTTGATTTCTTCATTTTTCAGCAGACAACAGCACAATTAAAATCATGCAATCTGCTTTCTTCCATAAGTTCGTAGACGGGACTCCAGGAAGGACTTTCCAGCAGTTATTTCCAGGCTGCAGGTCTTTTGTAAAGGCATTGTTCATTTTATATTGTGAAACTTTTATTTTTGAGGATGGATATCTCAGTTACCTTGGTCTCACAGCCAGTAAAAATGCTTATTTCTTTGGCTAGAAACCTGGGGTGCTGGTGCTCATCTTTGTGCTCACTCGAGTTTTGTTAAGAGAACTAAACTTACTCATTAGGACAAAAGAATAATTAATTGTATTACCACAAACCACATTATGAAGTAGCATCCTTCTTCTCTGAAGGTTGGCCCATTCTGCTGGTTTAAATACATTTTCTTCTTTTTATGAATGTTTTCATCATGATTGTTCTTCACATAATTCAATATCATTATACAGTATATTAGTACCTTATTAACGTAGCAGCAGTCCTGAAGTGCACAGTAATCTTTGTACTTGAGATGGAGCCAGAACATTCATCTGCTCAAGTGGATTCTGCTAGGATCCACCTTGTAGTAGTGTCTCATGGGCTCACAGCTATCCTTCTGCAAAGGATACACTGGAAGGATGGATAGATGAAAGGAGGAGAGAAAGGAAGGAAGGGAGAAAGGAAGGAAGGACAGGGTTAGGAATGCACTGATCACAAAGGTCTGAGGAAACCTACAAAGGAAGGAAGGAAGGAGTGAGGGAGGGAGGAAGGAAGAAAGGAAGGGAGAGAAGGAGGAAGGAAGAAAGGGAAAAAGGGAGGAAGGAAGGGAAGGAGGGAGGAAGGAAAAAGAGAGGGAGAAAGAAAAGAAGGAGGGAGGAAGGCAGAAAGAAGGAAGGAAGGAAGAATTTATTAAAGGTCTACTATGTGTCAGGCACTATGCTAAATGCTTTACAAATATTATTTCATTTGATCCTCACACAACCCTGGGAGATGATGATGATGATGATGATGATGATTATTATCCCTGTTTTACAGTTGAAGAAACTAATTCATACAGTGGTTAAGTGACTTGCCCAGGGCCACACAGCTAGCATGTGTCTGGGGCCAGATTTGAACTTGAGATTCTATCCACTCTTCTACTTCTGTGCCTATTTGGTCATAGGTAGAAAGCCAGAAAAGTCCTTCGGGCTCTTCTGTGTAACTCAACAACCCCATTTTCTAGATGAGCGCACGGGACAAAGGTAGCCAAGCTGGGCTGTCTCCACTGTCCCAGACTCTCGGCTCTGCTGGCGGAGTTAGGGCCTGAGCGTCCTGAGATCTAGAGCTGGGCATCTGGCTCAGAGGTGACAGACTCTGGTAGCAATTGGAAAATGTTTAACAAAATAAATAAAAATACCAAAGGCAACACAGATAGTATTAATTTGTGGTGTTCTAAGTCAGTATGTGGCCGACTGGATCCCTTTCTGTTTGATTCTGACCTCTAGTCTACCTCAGCTGGTCTAGCTCAACAGCACGATTTTACAGATGAGGAAACTGAGGTCCAGAGAGAGGACGTGCTCCGTCCAGCGTCACCCAGGCGTTACGTGGCTGAGCCAGAATTTGATTTTTGGATGAGGATTAGGGTCCTGTGAACCAAAGTCAGCCCCCCGAGCACTATACCCACCTCCACCCATACAGATAGAGGAGAATTAATTCCTTCACTTACCTTTCTCTGCAAAAATAGAAACCACATCAGTTCAGAGGAAGAAACACATGATGAGTCTCCAGCCGGACACAAAGGTATAGACTCTCTCGCTTAACAATAGGAAATAACTGGAGCATTGCTCTTATTTTCAAACAACAGATGTTGTTTGCCCAGCTAGCAGCATGCCTTGATTGTGCTGCTTAAGCCATTAAAAATGGAAGGAGGAGACCCAAGACCTCATTTAGACTGGATCTTGGCATGAACTTGCTTTTCATGCTTTGAGCCATCCACCAGCAAATACTGAAGTGCTCGCTGAAAGACACGAATCCTTGAATCGGAAAGTTGGTCATTAGACCACAGACTCATGAAAATAGCCTTCAGAGGACAGGACAGACTTTGTGTGCCAAATGTGTGATGCTGTCAATAAAGGCTCTGCCCCCTACAACAGAGGAAAGGCACTGTGGGAAAGAGGTATCTCACCTTTAGTGGCCCCAGCCCACCCAACTTAAGTATCATGGAAAGGGTACTGGACTTAGAGTCAGAAGAGACAGGAGTTTGTGTCCTACCTCTCTGATACTTCCTAGCTTTTAACTGTTCACAGCTTCTCTGGACCTCATTTTCTTCATCTGTAAAATGGGTGTAATTACATCTATAGTATCCATTCCTTAAGCCTACTATGATCTTAAACAGAGATAATATATGTAAAGTGTTACAAAGTATCAGCCTGTGTATCTCAATCAGCTATTCATCATGCAGAAAGCCAGTGGCCTACTGAGATGGAAGCTTGCAATTGCTTCTGCAAAAGAAATAAAAAGACCTCTTACCCCGCCTCCCAAGAGGAATCGCATTGGCCAGTCGTCTCGCCCATTCGAGCTGGTCACTGCTGTTCTCCTTCGTGGCACTGGGACCTATAACCAAGGTCATCCTTGGATGGTGGAATCGGCAGAAGGAAGGAGGGCGGAGAGAAGACTTAGTGAGGAAGGACCTTTGGCAGGAGCGGGGTCTTTGAAGTTCCAATTCTGGCTGTGAGTCTTACTACCTCGGTGACTTTGAAAATGTCACTTCATTTCTCCCTCCCTCAGTTTCCTTATCTCTCAGGGTGGCCCCAAGGTCTCTTCTGGCTCGAAAACATTGACGCTGTATGTCAGCCGAGTACAGACGCCTGTCTCCAGTTGACCGAGGCCCTGGGCCTCCTTCTTCGGCCTCCTCGGCTACCCTGCAGCTGCTCTTTTTCTTTTTTTAGGGGGCTGATCTTTAATACACACATGCTTTTTACTCTCAAGCCAAAGAAGAGTTCTCGCTGCCCTGCTGAGGGGTTGCGCATCCCCTGGGTACCTTCAGGAGCAAGACGTTGAACTTTTGTGCAAATATGCTGCAACAGCTTAATCTGTTTTTCAGATGCTGCTTGGGGACTCTGAGATCTGCATGGATAGAATCTGATTTCATTAGGTTTACTTAATTTGGATTTATCGCGGCATTCCTGTCATGCTAATATGATCATCTTCAGCTTAGGTGCCACACGTTTTAAGGCGTTGTCTCCTAAGACTTAATATGAGCGACTTTAAATATATGCTGGTGTTTAACTTATGATGGAAACTTTTCTTCCTTCAGTATTTTGCCAACTTATATGGTTCCTTTGGAAATCTTAATGATATTGTGGCTGTCACCTTAAGTGAAGTGCTTTGGCTTCCAGTGATGAATAATGCGTATTCTTCCTCTAAGATTACGAGGGACTGAAGGGGTCTATCATAGTGCTTCAAGCCACTAGAGGGCACTCAAACCTCAGGTTTCTTAGCAGAAATCTACTTAGCCACTTTCAGTTGTTTGGAATGTTCTGGTGGTATCAGGATTTTGCTTAATCGGTTTTAAAACAGAAATCTAGATGGAGTTAATTGAAAATATTTAATAATGGCATTTTCTAAGATGTATCGAGTTAGCTTGTTGACATAATTATAGCATTGTGTTACTGATGTTGCCTGGAACGTACCTCCCTAAGTGCAATTCCGTGGGCATGAATCAGTAGGATTCAGTGAATTTCA